AATGTACTTCCTAGAAAAAGCACATATATAATTGGTGTTTCGTGCAGAAAGCACTTTAAATGCTTTTGAAATCCAAAAATAATTTCTCTAAAAGCGATTTCAATCATTTTAAAAGCACAGCCAAACAAGTTCATAGCCTTCACAAATTGACCTAGTGCCTTCCACCAAAACTTCCTCCTCTTCTGTGTCGGCCCACTTCCTTGGGGTTTACTGGCCTTCCTTCTGAGCCCATTAGCCTCTGGTGGCCTGTAAGTCCGGATCAAGGCCCAATTAATTCCACCAAAAAACGGGTGCTATTTAATTTCGGTGACCCGCTTGCCGCACCAAGCCTCCTTCGTGGGTCCTTCACGAGCAGCCTCTCAATTAAATCCCTCGCCTCCTTCATTCCCTCGAGAAATGTTTAGTTGTGACTGAAACACAAGTGATACATCACGTGTTTTAATAGGAGTGGCGGGAAATTTTATTTTTTAAATTATTAACTTTTTAGCATATATATTCCACCATTTGTATATTGACACGTAGTGTATTACCCCGTATACCAGTCACACTGAAAAATCTCTCAATTCCCTCATTTTTTCCTACGCCACGTGGAACCTCACCCCGCTGCTGGCTGCAATATTGCGCAGGGAGCTCTCTTTAGTCACGCCCTTAAACGGCGTCGTTCCTTGGAGGAGCTCGTAGATAAACACTCTAAAAGCCCACTAATCAACGCCGTTACCGTGGCCGTCACCTGAGATCAACTACAGGGCCAGATACTCGTGAGTCCCAATGCAGGATTTTGAAAACACGGTTGTCGGCTCTGCCACAAACTCCGCCATCATTTCCTCTTGCTGCTCCATCCTCGATCCGTAACAGGAAAAATTGCATTTTCTTTCAATATGAGCCGTCTTCTGAACACGTCGGTGTTGCAAGGTGGGATTGACGTTTCCTTTGAAGCAGAGGTCAAAGGCTGACAACATAATATGTCTGTCCTCGCGCAGGAGTATGTTTTTAGGTTTCAGGTCCCGATAGACGACTCCCAGCGCATGGAGGTACTCAAGGGCAACGAGGACTTCCGTCGTAAAGAACTGGACAGTGGAGACATGGAGGCGGTTTAGTGGCTGTCTTAGGAGGAGGTTGTGAAGGTTGTCATTTAAGCAGTAGTCAATGAGGAGGCGGGTGTAATGGGAGACGTTGATGCGGGCATAAAGCCTGGGGAGGAAAGGGTGGTCGAGCATAGAGATGATCTCGGTCTCGGTGCTGACGTGGCTGAGTTTTTTCGGGGTGAGTAAATCTTTATCGACGACTTTTAAGGCGAATTTGGCGGCGTCAAGGTTGTCGCGGTTGTCTTGAAGGCAGCATAGGAAGACGCGGCCGAGGTTTCTCGTACTGACATGGTGGAGTAGCTTGAGGTGGTGAAGTTGGAGGGTGCGATCGGATGAGATAGCGGTGGCGACCTTGATAGCCGACCAGCATGGGTCTAACTTGGAGTGGTGGGGGGGAGTAGTTGTTGTTGTTGTGGGGGTATTGGTGGTAGTGGAGGTGGTGGAGAGGTGGTCGTTGAAGCTGAGGTTGAGGCTGCTGCGGGCTAAACTGGAGCGAGCGCTTAAGCAGGAAGTTACAAAGGTGCGGTCGGTGGAGGTGGAGGTGCAGCTGGTAAAGCTGAGGTCGAGATCTGTGTAGTTGGATGGGAAACGGGCCAAATGGGTTTCTGCGTCCATTACGGTTAGATGGGGAAGTTGCGGTGGCGCATGCGCTTTGATGACTGAATATTTTGAAGATGCAATCGAAATATGCAAGTTGATATTTGGGGGATGTGGGGGCTTATAAAAGAGTAGAAAGGGAGAGGAAGAGAGAGAGAGAGATGTGAGGAGGTATGCGGGACCTGGTGGGGTGATTAATTAAGGAGTAATGTTATTCATACCATGTTTTTGTACCACATTTTTATACCATCTTAGGTGGCATCTGATGTGGACAACCACATCATTATTTAGTTGTAATTTCAGAGGATCAAATTAAATTTAATTGAATCCCATGTAGGAATTAGGATGGCGACCAGGATAGTGGTATGAAGAATTGAAGGCGCTGCCAAAGGGTTAGGAGCCGTATTTATACAGAAGGACGTGAAATGAGTTAAACAAGAGTAATGTTATTCATACCATGTTTTTGTAGCACATTTTCATACCATTTAGGTGGTATTTGATGTGGACAGCCACATCGTTTGAATTAATCAGATTTTTAAATTTAGTTCATTATTTAATAAATTAATAATTAAGAAAAACTAGTTAATTAAATGATGATTGTGGTATAGTCTTTCTCCTTCATTTCCTTGGGTTTTGCAAATTTTTCAAATAATGTGGCTGTCCACATTAGATGTCACCTAAGGTGATATAGAAATGTGGTACAAAAATATGGTATGAATAACATTACTCGTTAAACAATTGAATTTAGTACTGAGACCAACGGCTACGTATAATAGATAATTATTTACTATAGTATCCTCCTCTCTGGCTTGTGGAGAAAGATATGTATATAGTTGCTTACCTTCGTTGTAGCGTACTATAAAAAATATAAATTTATGTTAGCAATTTTATTAAAAACATCATGATGACAGTAAACTTGTTTCATAAGATTCTTCCCTAACTATAAGTACGTAAGCAATGCACTTAAATTAGGTTTTGAGAGCAATCAGTCATGACTTTGGTAGTATGATTCCGTTTACATGGTGGGTGAATTGTGAATAGTTTATACTTTGTGATCTGATATGGTTATTTATTTGTTTCTGTGGGAGGGGTAGGTCGGTTTCCCCCAATTGTTTTAGTACACATCAAATGCACTTCTTCAAATGCTAGCCGGAACTTTTTAGGGGTTTTTGAATTTTAATTCTTGAAGAAGATTAAAATTTAATAAAAATTTAGTGTAAGATTACATATTTATTTTAGTCCTTTAAAATGTATTTAATTCAAATTTATATTATATTTTTGTTTTATTTAATGTCTCTACATTAAATTTTAAATATTATTAAAAGTTTTTGTTTAACTTCCTCCATAGTGTATCTAAACGTCCGTATTATAATATATTTTACTGAATTAGTGTAATGAAATGTCCGTATCTAAATATATTTTAATGAATTAGTAACACATAAGAAAATATGAGGGTTAGAGGAGTGGGGTAAGTCTCACAATGAATTGCAATAATGTGGTTCAAATTCACCTTTACCAAGAATTCTTGACCTAATACTTCTCAATTAAAAATAAGGATAAATACCATCAGATTGTAATATAAAGTGACATTTAATTGATCACTTGATGATCAACTAATGTCTTTTTTTTACAAGGCAAATTACGTACCAAACATATATAGAAATGGTCAATGGGAAGCCATGGATGTGGCCCCATTGTGATGGGCCAAGATCAGTTCTTCACTCTTAGCGTTGGGACCCACGTGGAAAATGAAGAGAGAATGTTGTCTGCCACGTGCTCAACACTGGCCCTACATTGTCGCTCACACCTCAATAATAACTCACTCAAATTTGACTCCCTAATTCAATCCCTTTTTTAATTTTGTGAAGCTTATAAAATCGTGATATTTATTAATTATTTATATAATAATTCACCAATAATGTAATTCACCATCTGAACTGGTATTTAAGTGATGATAATAATGAGGGTAAATTACATAAAACTATCTTAATTATTGGGTCATTAACAGTTTCATAACCCGTCTTTAAAAAGTTTCAATGTCATACCTTATCTTCGAATTTGTTGCAATGTCATACCTTCCGTCAATTGTATGTCAATTCTTCTATTAAATGCCGAAGTTACATGAGGTGGGCTCACTTTCTATTAAAAAATTATTAAAATAATAATTTACCCTTAAAAAATAAAAAAAACAAAACAAAACAAAAAAACAAAAAAAACTCAAACACCCATATCCCATTTTCCCTGACTCCCTTTCCCTGCAAGCCAAATCCAAAACCACTCCCCACGACATCCTCCTCCTCCTTCTTCTACCCAACCCCCAAACCCTAATTGCACCCTCCTCTGCAAGCACTCGTCGTCGGCCACCCTCGACCTCCTCATCCTCATTCTCATCCTCTTCTCCGGGTCCACCCAGGATCGGTCACATGGCGCCAGAGTGTTGTACCATAAAATAATAGGTGGGAATAGTAGTTTAATTAATTTAAACAATATATAGCACTTGATGTGTGAGTGTTGTACCATAATATCTCTCAATAATAAATTTTAGTATATTGAAAAACATTATGGTACAACACTCACACATCAACTACCATGTGTAGTCTAAATCAATTAAACTACTATTTGTACCTATTTAAATATATTTTTTGGAACACATCGTTGTTTTCACTGTTCTAAAATTTCCGTCTGTCATCATTTAGTATTACGGTCTAGTTGTATTACCCTTCACTTCTAAGTGAGAGGTCTTAAGTTCAATTCTCGTCAAAGGCTAATTTAAATCACATTATTGCTAACCATTGTGAGACAAGCCCACTCCCTCTTGGATAATATCATTTGTTAAAAAAAATTAAAAAAAAATTCTCACCTAGGTGTTAAATGACTGGCTACCTTCCCGATTAATTCCTATGCGTTTGAAAATTAAGAAAGTGCATCAAGACCTCTCACCTAGACCGCTTAGGTCGAGACTTTCACTTAAATAGAAAATAGATAACTTTTATTTTGCATTTTATTTTTTCAATAAATTGTAAGAGACTTGTTAAATGCTTTGATGAACTCTTATTATATACTCGTTTCCCATGTAATGCAGTAGAACTAAAATATACATCTCATTGAAATGCAAAATAAGATGTAAATGTGGCTTTAAATCTCAAATTTGCTTCTTTCAATTGGTTTAGGAAAGTTTTTTAGACCATGCCAAACAAAAGTATGTAAGAAACTTCTCATGTGTTCTCTCTAAGGTGGATATAAGTAGGACATTGCTATCCACACAACATTTTTTACACATCTCTCAATTTTTGGCTGTCAGATTGAAAGAATAGAAGATGATCAAACGACATAAAATAACAAGCTGTGAAAGTTAAGTAAAAAAAATTGTGTGAATTTACAATGAGGGCTAGTAACTTTCAATTACGCACGCAACATGTCAACATGACATTAATTTATGCGATTCCGAATCAAAATGTTAACTTGCTACAATGTCAATGGGTACTTCTTTCCCATTATTATTTGAAACAAAGACTTCACCATAGGGAGGACAGCTACCAAAAATAAAATGACGAATATTATTGACACCAAAATGTCGCCCGAAGTAAATGCAACCATCATTCCTCCGATGGAAAGCTGAATGAGACTTGCAGGTGCTGCTAGACGGATTGGTAAGACGGTTGCTACCAAGAAATCATTTAGAATGGCAAGAGATGAGAAAAAGAAGGAGATAAAGTCAAACATCAGAAACGCTTGAAAATATGTATTTTCATTTAAAACTGGTGTTCCGTCACTTTTAAATCCTCCGGGAGGGGTGAACGCCGCTGTAAATGTGACAGTCGCGATAAGCACCCCTACGAGCAAGTTGGTGTCGAGCCTTTTTGAGGCTAAATCTGAATGAGCTTGCAGTTTTTCTCTCTTGTCTGCAGCAATGGCTGGCGGGCAAGAGGTATCATTATCCGGACATATCAATTTCTTGAAATCACGGTTGATTTGTTGTTGGAAAAATGGCACGCCAGTGGAGCGCCCCAGGTGGTGCAAGACTCTTTGGTTATCAAAGATTTCCTGAAATACATATATATAGAGAGGAAGAAAATGATGCTTTACAACTAGTTAATTAGTTAAAACAGATTAATTGTAGATTAAGGTGAACAATTTGACTGCATGATTCTATATTTTTTGACATTATGTACCAACATATTCCTGAGTTCAAATTCTCACAGACAAGCTTGTTGAACAAAATAAACCTTTGAGAAGATTGACTTGGTACCTTGTATAATTATTACAAGTTTCCTTGGTTATAACTAACGCCTTGAAAGAATGACTTTGGCACCCTAAAATCATTATATATATGCACGTGAGGAATCTACAATATTCCGGAGTATTGAATACTCCGACATTTAGCCCTTAACTTTAATCCAACAGCTGCCAAAGAAAATTGAAGAGCTGCTGAAATGGATCAAAGGACTCTAAGTGGCTGAGTATATATATAATATTGCATACCTGTTCTCCACCATTGTCGCCGAGAAAAAAGTCGATGGCCCTTGAGAATTCTTCATTAATCGCAGTCTTGTCCACTTTGGGGTCATCTGTCAAAATTCTTATAATTTCACGATTTTGGTAACGGGCAGCTAGATGCAATGGAGTGTTTCCATCTTTATCTGCTTCATTTATAAGTCCTGCAAACATAGGGTTATTTAATATGTAACTGATGACATGTATTTGTTCGCCCAAAACTGCAGCATGTAGAATCGTTTGGCCTTTGTCATTGAGCAAATCACAAGTATCAGGTCGATGTCGAATCATCTCTTCCATTACTCTGATGTACCCAGCGTAGGCCGCAACATGGAGAGCTGATATTCCAGATTTGTCTAGGATATAAGATGCAGAACTATCATATTGCATGAGCACTCTAGTCGCTTCAAGGTTCCCTCTCAATGCTGCGTAGTGTAAGGGAGTCCACCCAAGTGCATCGGCTTTTCTTATCACATCCGGATTTTTTGATACCATCGTCTCCACAATGCCTAACACAATATCAATGTAGAAAAGTTCGAGTTGGTTGAGGGATAAGAGAATCTCTTAAATAATAGTAGACATTACATAACTACGCATTGAGAAAACCTCATTTGTACTCAATTTTCTTCAACTATATATTATTCCATTGATTGAACTTTAGCGCATAATCATGTAGAGCTTAAACTTCAGGTCTCTAGTCTCGGATTAATTAATCCCTTCGATTTTAGGTTTGAAGTGTCAACTTTGGGATATAAATAACTATTCTATACCTATATAATCAACCATGTGAATAAATTAATGAGATCGCAGTAGAAGAAAATTGGGTAGAAATGGAGTTCTCTATACCTTTACTTACTAGACTTTTTTATTTTTTTTTTTTTATTTTTTATTTTTATATATTTTAAAACAACTAAGTTTATGTTGTCATAATGTGAACTTGAACAATTAATCATAATAATTCTTTTACAAAAGAATTTTTCAGGCCACAAAATGGAAAAAATCCTTTCTTTGTATATGTATTCGTATGTATGAAAATAAGACATATCAAATTATTTCATGCTTTACCTCTCCCTGTAAGGTGCTTGGGAGTCACTGCCGCATGTAAAGCTGTCACACCATTAGTCCCATGAAAAGAAGGAAGTACGGGATCAGAGTGGTTCAAAATATAAAGAGCAATGCTAGCAGACCCACTTCTAACGGCCAGGAACAACGGCGACTCATTGGCTCCATTAGTGAAACAACACAATTGAGGATCAGCTTCCATCAAAAGCATAACCACTCCACCATGACCATTGCGGACAGCAACGTGCAAAGCTGTATCCTTTTGCCAATTTGTCATTCGGAACAACTCTTTGTGTGCATCCTTATCAGCTGGCCCGCTTTCCTGATCAGCTCCATGAATTTGCGTTTCCTTCGCGTGTTGGATGAGGAACTTTACGATTTCATGACAGCCAACTCTTGCAGCAACGTGTAGGGGAGTGTTGCCCTTTTTGTTGGTGGCCCAAAACAATGAAGTTTGAACATCGAGTGGGACGTTTTTGAAGAAGTCTGCTTGCTTGAACTCAGCAGCAACATGAAGTATATTGTTGTCTTTAGGTGTTTTCTGATCGGGAAAACGATCTGATCTCAAGAAACGAATATCTCCAGATGCTGCCGCCTTATAGAGGGAAGGATCCATGGTTTTGATCTCTTCTCTCAGCTTTTAACAATCAAATTAGAAACCAGTTAAGGGAATCAAGGATGGAGGACTACAAAGTATGTGCTCCGTAATTAAGTATGGACCGGTGGTTAACCATATATATCTCCACATGTTCAACTTATTTGCATACATCCTTGCAGTCAACTAACAAATCAAATAAATTAGTAGCAAGAAAACCTCCAAATGCACTCAAAGGGACCACACACTGTTCTCAAGGATATGTAAAAGTCTCACACGTTTGTGACCTGCAACTTCGACGTTACAACAAATAAAATAAAATACATTTCACACACTATGTCCTCCTTAAGTGTAGTAATCTAGTTTAAAAAATGCGAGACCACATTTTGTAGATCACGTCAAAATTATTTTTCTAAAAGAAATTTCTAGGTAAAGGTGGAAAGGAAATGCCTATTTTTTTTTAAATAAACAAAATATACAATATAAAAATAAAGGTAAACTAAAGGATTGAAATATTGGCCGATACACCGATATATCGATATTTTTAATTGTCGATACCGATATTGGGGGGTAAGGCCATATCTTCCCCTATATCGACGATATATCCCCGATAAGTGCGATATCTCCGATATTTTGCTGATATTCTCGATATTTCCCGATACCTATAACAAAACCCCAAAAAATTCAAAAGTTTTGAAGCAAATTGAAACCCAAAAGATTTTTTGGAGGTATGTGGGCAGTGATTAGATATGTGTGAAGGCTTTTGGCAATATCCAATTCAAAAGATTTTTTGGAGTATCCATTAATTATTACTATAAAGAATCTATGCACAATGAATTGAGGGGATATACGTGTCTTATCTGAAGAGAAAGAAATACACAAATCCAAATATTAAATTTCTGGTCAAATATATCTTTAATACCCACAAGAAAATGATGCACATGTGTCTGAGCTTCTTGTGGATCCAAAACATTGTGAATCCAGGCGATAAATTTTAGAGACTGTAGAAAGACATTTCGCACTGAGATGGCTGTCAGATCAAGAAAATCGATCCCCCCCAGCAGAATAGTGGAATCTTCATGGTGATTCTGCTCCAAACTTGCAAAAAATTGCTACGCGTATATTGTCACAGACAACATCATCATCGGCATGTGAGCGAAATTGGAGTACATTTGCTCTTATTCACATGAAATAAAGGAACCGTCTCGCATATACTAGGTTGGAAAAGATTGTCTTTTGCTATTATAATTTGAAACTTAAGCTACGTGATGAAGAGGCCGAAATGAACAAGGTTGCAGAAAATGACTACATAGACCTCCTTGACATTGCAGGGCAACCATCTAATGATGATAATAATCCAATTCAACAATGGATTATGACAGCTCACTTGGATGATTAACAAGGCAACCCTGATGTCGTTATAGCACAACATGCTGTCCAAGAAGGAGTTGATGTTAATAGAGTCATATCCGAAGATGTTAGGAGTGGAGATACTTCATCATTTGAAAGGGATATGCTTGGCACTCAGCAAGGTCAAAGACGTCCCTTGAGAGACGATGCCAGTACTAGTAGAAAGGAAAGTTCATCCAATTCGTCAGATAATGATGGAGGAAGTAATGTTGGATCAGGAGGTAATGAAGAAGGAAGACAATATAGCCCATTTACTATCGAGGCTGATTTTACTCATGCCACCCAAGATGAGGATCATGGATGCAGAGAAGCTGGACCAGGCATTGACGCAATTGGGAAGCAATACTCAGGGAAAAGAAGCCAACCAATCAATCCATCTGGAGATGACATGATGATCAGTTTTGGATCTATGAGCATAGGAACTAAGTACTAACTCAAATGAATCTTATGATGGCTATGGGTATGTCATGTCTGATTATAGTGGAACTAGTTATGGAGCTCAAGATGATGAAACCGACTATGGACCTACTAGTTGGGTTAATCCTAACTATCCCATGTATGGGAGGACAGTACAGAGCTCAATAGAGACATATGTGCACCATGTTCAAACATGGCTTACAAACTGCTTGGGTTACATGACTTGGTATGACTATTGTATGAATCTAGATGGTTGTTCCTGTTGTGCTAGGATAGCACCAAAAACTTTTGGAACCAACTCAAGCTAGCCCACAGGAAATTTATCAAATGAAAATGCAAGAACAAAATATAAAAGACACAAAGATTTTAACGAGGTTCCTCCACAGTCAGTGTAACTGGAGTACGTCCTCGGAGCAGTAGGAGCTCACCCAATAATCCACTATCAACCAAATGGGAGTTTACAAAGTGTTGGCAATCTCACAGCCCAAATAACCTAATACACCCAAAAGCTCTCACACACCAAAGAAACAAATAGAGGAAGAAATATAATGAATAATTTCTTCTCTATACATATAGCTCAAAGCTATTACAACAACAACTACTTTGGTAGATGATTACTAACCGAATGAAGCAGCAGCTTCTCTTCTCTCTTTGCAGCTCCTCTTTTTCTCAGCAGAGTGTTGAGCTTTTTCCTCTTCTCTATATTTGGCTGCAAAGGCAAACCCTTTCCTTTCTTAAACCAACACCCACGGATGTTGAAGAGAACAAAAATTCTTTTCCCTTTTTTCCTCCCCAAAACAAGGAAAGGTGTTGTCCACCTTCTTTCTTTATAATTTTTTATAGCCAAAAGTTGTTTGGATTTTTGTCTAGCTGAAAGCATTTGCAAGTTGGCCACTATCCAACAATCTCCACCTTGGCCAAATTCCGAAAAACGCCATGACAAGCCAACCAACACAATTGATACACAACATCACTCCTAAACACTAGCAAGAGAACAACTCATGCCAAGCCAATTGCTCCAAAACTCCTACTGCTCATCGCCTTCTTTATATAGGCAAAATGTGAGCCAAGTTCAAGCAATGAATAAACTTGGCTATACCAACAACCTTAGTCAACATATCAGCGGAGTTGTCTTTAGTTGGAATCTTCTGGAGAATGATTTCTCCTTCACCAACAACTTCACGAACAAAGTGATAACGCACATCTATGTGCTTGGTCCTCGCATGATGAACCTGATACTTAGCCAAATAAATGGCACTCTGACTATCACAATGCACCTCCACCTGCTTCTGATCAACCCCCAAATCTCTAATCAGTCCATGTATCCAAATGGCCTCCTTTATAGCTTCAGCAACTGCCATATATTCAGCCTCTGTAGTAGACAAGGCAACAAACGACTGCAAAATGGACCTCCAACAAACTGGCCTTTTAGCCATAGTAAACACATAGCCTGTAGTAGACTTCCTTCCATCCAGATCACCTGCATAATCTGAATCAACATAACCAACTGCAAAATGACCAATACCAGAGTCATTCCTCTCAAAGCATAAACCAACATCTTGAGTACCATGGAGATACCTCAATATCCACTTAGCTGCTTGCCAGTGCTCTTTTCCAGGATTATGCATATATCGACTCACCATGCCAACTGCATGAGCAATATCCGGTCTAGAGCATACCATTGCATACATCAAATTACCAACCAAATTTGCATATGGTATATTTTTCATTTGCAGCTTTTCCTTATCAGCTTTAGGACATTGTAGAGAACTCAATTTAAAATGAGGAGCCAAAGGGGTACTAACCGGTTAGGTTGAATCATGAACTCCAAACTTTCGAATCAACTTCTCAAGGTATTGTCTTTGATTCAAACAAACCAAACCCTTCTCTCTGTCTCTAGTGATCTCCATGCCAAGGATCTTCTTTGCTTCACCAAGATCCTTCATCTCGAACTCATTTTTCATTTGCATCTTCAATTTCTCAATCTCTTCGACATTCTTTGATGCAATCAACATATCATCAACATATATCAACAAATAAATGAAAGACCCATCTTGCAACTTCTTGAAGTACACACAATGATCATATTGACTTCTAGAATAATTTTGGCCTCTCATAAATTTATCAAACCTCAAATACCATTGTCTTGGAGATTGCTTCAAGCCATAACGTGATTTCTTCAACTTGCAAAACAAATTTTCTTTCCCTTTCACTTTATACCCATCCGGTTGACACATATAAATCTCTTCATTCAAATCACCATGTAGGAAAGCCGTCTTCACATCAAGTTGCACAAGTTCAAGATCATATTATGCAACAAGAGCTAACATAATGCGAATTGAGGAGTGCTTCACAACTGGAGAAAAGATTTCATTGTAGTCAATGCCCTCCTTTTGTGCATATCCTTTAGCAACCAATCTTGCTTTGAATCTGACATTGCTTTTCTCAGCAACATCTTCCTTCTTGACATACACCCATTTGCAACCAATAGCTTTCTTACCCTTAGGCAATTTAGCTAACTCCCAAGTCTTGTTCTTCAAGAGAGAATTCATCTCATCACCCATGGCATTGCACCACTTCTCCTTTTCCTCACTCTCAATGGCTTCCTCAAAATTGGATAGAATCTCATCAGTGATAATAGGAAGAGCAAAAGCAACATAGTCACTATACCGAGCTGGCTTGGTAATTTGTCTTTTTCCTCTGTTCTTAGCAATAGACTCTTAAGGTGAAACTTGCTCTTCAACTTGAATAGAATATTCAAGTTCAACTTCTTCAACATCCTCATGGTCTCCCACTTCTTCACTTATAGTGGCTTCAACATCAGCGGAAATAGGACTTGAAGTACCAGAGGCAACTTTCTCAAGCTCCACCTGTTGGACATCTTTCACATTCTTCTCAGAGTCTCTGAACATATTTTCTTCATCAAATGTCACATCTCTGCTGATTACAAGTTTCTTCATCTCTGGGCACCATAACCTGTAACCTTTGACACCACTACTAAAACCAAGAAAGATAGCCTTTTTGGCTCTAAGATCAAGTTTATTTTCAGTTACATGAAAATAAGTAGGTGAACCAAAAATACGAATATAATCATAATCAGTAGAAGGTTTTCCAGACCATACCTCCATTGGCGTCTTACCCTGAACAGCAGCTGAAGGTAATCGGTTGATGATGTGACATGCATAAGTAACTGCCTCTGCCCAAAACGACTTGCTCAAACCCGACTGAGACAACATGCATCTAACCTTCTCAAGCAAGGTTCGATTCAATTTTTCTGCAACTCCATTTTGTTGTGGAGTTCCCCAGACACTAAAATGTCTCACAATCCCTT